TTTTTAATGTTGTGGCTTTGCAGGTGCTATCATGTTTGCCCCATTGGTCAACCCCTATGATTTGGGCATGACAAAGGAAGAGATGTCTGGTGCTTGGGGAAATTGGACTCGGCGAAAAAGATTATTATATTTTCTGGCACGAAGATTCCCTAAGTTCCTTCCTTACTTTTATCGTCGAACTTTTCTCTCCGGGAAGCACGGTCCTGTAGATAAATGGTTAGCTTCATCATTGGGAAAGAAGGTAGGTACTCAGTTTACTATATAAGCATAACTATGTGTAAATCCCTATTAACTACTCTCTCAAAAATTAAATTGATAATAGTTTGGTCATTTATTATTCTGTGTGCAGGATAGAGATCTTGTAAAGACAACAGCTTTTGAAGAAATCTGGCAAAGGGACGTGGAGGAGTCGATTCGTCTTAATAACCCAAAACCATTTGTAGAGGAAGCTGTGCTTCAGGTTACTGACTGGGGTTTCAAGCTCGTGGATCTTCAAGTTCGGAAAAAATGCACCCGAAAAGGCATTATTCCATGGCTTCAGTTCATGTACGGACAACCCGAATGTGAACTGACTGGGTACTTAGGCCCGATCCACATATGGCAGGTCGAACCCACATTATTTCCATCTCTCATTTCACAAGTAATTAATGGTTTTTAATTTATTTGTTTAACCGGGAGCTAATAGCTAAAAATCATTATCTTAGTGATTGAAAAAAAGCTCATTATATTAAAATTTTTGCATCATTTTTGTTGTTTGTTGAAAAGGGTATGGATGATATGGTGGTCCCGCCTTCGATGACTGATTATGTGGGCCGCGTTCTTCAAACAGCGGTTGTGCATAGGCTTCCGAACGAGGGTCACTTCTCGTATTTCTCCTTTTGCGATGAATGTCACAGGCAAATACTCTCGACAGTTTTTGGAAGCCCGCAGGGGCCGATCGACACTGTAGATAAGAAGAAGAATACTCTAACAGAAGGCAATTTACAAGAGGCCTCAGATAACTGAATACTCTTTTTAACAGTTTTTTGGATGATGCTCTTATTCTCAATCGAGCATTGATAGGCAAAAACCGAAAATGGTCATCTGATTTTCGTTTGGCTGCAGATAACCGTTACTACAATGTGTTGACAAATTAACAATAGGTGTGCTTTTAAAGGGAAGGAGTGGAAATATTTTGTTCTCTTTAGCAATGGCAAAATCTTGGACTCGATTTCTTAACCGGTATTAATGTTAAATTTTCAGCAGTTTGGTTGTTCCTTATGTTCACATTTCTTATGTCTTCATGAAGGATGTGCGGCCCCATCTCTGGGGATCCGAAAGAATCGAGCTATTAAACGCAAAGCTTGAAATATGAAGTGGCATATTAACATCTGTAGAATTGTTCATCTTCCCCAAATGCTACCCCATAACTTCTGAGGAATCACAAACTGGTCCCTCAATTATCACCCTCTTCCTGCTGGCAGAAAGTCCTGATTATCTCCTTAAGTAATACATTTCAAATCTCATAGACCAAAATACATTTCTTTGTGACTTTGTTTGGTACCACAGAGTTAACTAATCATATCTAACTATGTCAAAAACACTGTGATCATAGAACAAAAGAAGTTTTTGAGTTTAACTTAAATAAAGATAAAAACAAAAACCCCCAATTTTTTCTACATGTTTGCAAAACCCCCCCATAGATTACACTTTACCCCTTACATTTTAAGAAATTCGCACTTTCCGAATGTGTGTTCCGGATATCAGTACTTAAACCAATAAACTACAGGAGTTGATACTAAATATCAAATTCTGTAGCTAAACACAGAGTGTTTTATCTTTCATGTTAATGCGAGAAACTCGCAACATCTTAGAGGCAATCAAAATGAGTAAAAACTGAGAGAATCACAACACTTGTACCTTCAATAAACAAGGTACATAGAACGCAAAATCAAGGCGAAATCCACTGTACACACAAACAAACAGAAGATATGTAAGTCCCCACAGAGTATAATCAAGTCCAACTAAAGCTGATACGACCAGAATACAAAAATCACTAACAAGTTCGAACATTGTTAAGTCAGCTTTCTTCTTTACTTGCTCAACTTGGAGAGTTCAGCAAGCCAAAACACTGGGAACTTGAAAAGTGCCAGAAAAAACCCAAAAAAAAAATCCTTTCAAAACAGTCCCCACATTCTTTCAACCATTAGCATTTTTAGCCACAACTTAATTTCTTACTGGGGGAAGCTTAGACAACACCCAGCTGGGCGACCCATTCAACCACAAAGCCTCACTAGTTACCTTGTGCACAAAATCCGGCGCTTTAGGGTTTCTTTTCCTTGCCCTGTTATCCCACCAATCATCGAGATTTTCAACCAAATCCTTCCAAGAATCATCTGTCTGGTTCTGCTTCGGCGTCATATTCTTCACGTTAAACACCAATTCCTCGATCCAAGGCAGGATCCATTTGGGAGCAGTACTGAGCCAGAGAGGCTCCTCAGTCACCTTCTGCTTGAAATCCGGATGTTTTACTTTTACCAACCCGTTTGCCTTGTGCTCGCGAAAATCCCACCATTGTAGTGGATTCTTCACAAGATCCCTCCAGAGATGCATGGTTTTATCGGCATCCTTTTTCTTTTCATTCCCACTTTCCAAATGTGCCTCTAGCAGCTTGTCACCCTCAGGCTCTGCTCTTTCGGACAATTCATCAAACACTTCAGCCTCGTTCCCAACAGACCTATCAGTTTCCGACTCATATAAACTAATCTTCTCGAATCCCACCACAAAGTTGATATTTTCAGCCACGACGTGGAATTTCCCCAGGCTCTCGCTCTCGCTCGGAACTACACCCGTGGGGTCCACGCTCAGGTGACCGGACACGAGGACGCAGTCGTTCTCCCGGACATGACCCGACACGACGAGGGCCAAGAGCCCCTCGAACAGGACGGGGATCTTCAGGGGATCCCTTACGCCACCGTTCATGAGGGAAATCACGGTGGTGGCCAGATGCTTTCCGCCGCCGCCGGACTCGTACCGGATGGGAATCCCGACCCGGCCGATCAGGTTCACGACGTTGGCATCCTTCGACTGGTACCATACCGTCCTCGGCTTGGGCCAAACGGCTGCCAGCGCCTCCGATTGCTTCAGGGCTCTCTGGGAGAATGATGTCAACGGCGTCGGCGCGGAGCGTTTCTCGGGCTTGGGCTTGGTCGGTTCCGGGGTTTTCCGGCTGCTGCCTTGGGCCGTGGTTTTGGTGGAGTAGAGCTCGCATTGTAGGAGGGCGGCGAGCTTGGGGTGGAGATTGAGGAGGCGCATTGCCGGCGAGGGGGAGGAGGATATGAGATGGGACGACATATTTGCTCTGGCTAGTAAATTCATGGCGGCCATTTGTGAGTTGAGTGGAGCTGAACTTCCTTATTAGGAGGGTTTTGGCCTTTTGGGTCATCTGGAGTGGAAGCGAAAGGTCGGAAGCGAAAGGGCCTGAAAAGGTGGTCAGTATTGGATAGAGCTGAAGCCTGAAGGTGCATTTGCACTCGCTGCATAATTTTTTTTTTTTTAATTCAAAGTAATTTAAATTTAACCAAACTATTAAATATTATAGATATAATCAAATAATATATTCATTGATTATTACTACACAATACAACACCCGTGTATTACACGGGTGCTTGCTAATTTTTTTCTTAAAATTTAAAATTAATAAGAAAAAAGTAGTTTGAAAATTTAAATACATTTTATAAGAATATATATATTATTATATATTTATTGTGACACTTTTTATTTGTGCGACTGACTTGTGTTATATTATACTAATTTTTTTAACTTACAATATATAACTACATTACATATAAATATATCAATTGAGAAATAATTTTATTTTTCTAATAAATTTTAATAAATATTATTATTTTTTATTATTATAAAGATAAATATAATTTATTTATTTCATATATACAACATGGATGTCAAATCGAAGATCATCAAAAGATGATTAATTTGATATATTATATATGTAAAAACGATAATAAATACAAAAGTTATCAACTTTTAAAGTACATATATAATTCAATAGCTTATTGAAGGAAACAAATCAAAATTCAGGGATATATTAGTCACTTATTGCCTCACTAAGTAAAATTACAAAAAATTAAAGGGTTATATTAGTAAAAGTGATATTAAAATATCTAAGTTAGCTAAATAATATTTATAGAATACCCGAACCTAGATGATTAATTATTAATATATCAATATTATTCATCCAAACCAATTACGAAGCATGATTCTTCGCCAAATAGGATTCCGAAGCACCAGAAGCAGTCACGTAGGCTCAGCGCATTCTGGAATTATATAGAGGGAGGATTTTCAATAATTCATTATTCATTAATTCATATATTTTTAATAATTCTATATTATTTTATTATTTTTTTTATCAAATCAACTTTAATCATTACATTTTAAATCATACACATTCACATTCAAAATCAAATCCAAATTTATGTCCAACCAACTTTTCAACTCTACCATCGGTTCGCAACATAATTCGTTTGGCTCGTGATAAATCGTATTCAACTTGTTCGTTTACTTAAATAAGTCGACCTCAAACAACTAATCGAACTTGTTTATTAAACAAGTTAAGCTTGAGCTTGTTCGCAAAGTTGTTTTATTATCTTTTTTAGTTAAGAATTTTAAATGAATAGTGCTATGGTATATCATACCAACCGTCGGAGCTCGTACAACTCGATAGGTTGGGCACATCACCAAGGTTCCGAACTGGAAGGCGAAGTTCTTCGTTCGGCCTCCTCCTAACACCTTTTACTGAGTCGCCAACAATAGGAGTGAGCAAGAGTACCAAACCTTGGCAAGGAAGGGGGAACAAGCCAGTTATTAAGCTTGGTAACCGCTCTAACAAGGCAAGCCTTAGCTGGCCCGCCCATTCCTATGTCTAACTACCTTCCTAACGTGCGAAGGACACTTCCCTAGATAGTTGGGGATTAGATTAGCGGAATGAAGAACAACTTCAGGTCAAGTTAAGTCTTTAGAATAGTCAGTCAAATACTTTGTTTGGAACTTGAAGGGTCAGGTGACGATCTCAAAGACAACTTTTGGCCCAGTAAGGCTAATTTGGTCAAGATAGAGCTACTTAGCTCGGTCAACCGTAGGAAAACCACCAAAGGATGAAAGCAGAATAGTGTGAACACAATTAAATATGAAATGTGTGAACAAAGTCATATAAGAACAAACATTAAGCAAGCGATAAGGATCTCAGAAGGTTCTTGGAGAACACAATACCTATCTTTTATAAAAGGAGGTAAAGTAAGGTAAAAAAGATTCTTCTCTCTCTCAACATTATAAACTATTATTTACTATATATCATCACTCCCGAAACTGATTTGAGTGTCGAAAGCTCTACGTCGAGACAACATGATGAGAATGTGGGTTTCACGCCCACAAACGTGCATGGTCGGGCATGAAGAGCTCACACGAGAAAGGCCTCACGGTGGCCTAAGCAACCACGGAAGACCCGTCGGGGACACCCGAGACCGCGCACGGGTCGACCAGGAAATCAGCGCGCCACCACTAGGCGTACGCGAGAGACGCGCAACAGTTGTTGCGAGAGGACCCGGGGCGACCGCGCAAACTAGACGACCCACACGATACCGCGCGCATACGTGCTACAGCACGCAGACGGGCAGGCGCCGCGGGGGAGACCGCGCGAGTACTAGAGACAAAGCCGACACTCGCGACCTGGGTGAGATTATTCGCAGGCACGAACGAGCAAGCAAGATGAGACACGCGTAAACAAGCGCGCGAGCACGGGCGCGACACGCAGAAGTCGGGCGAGCGGCTGGGACGCACGGGAGTTTTGCACACATTCACAAGATGATGAGGATCGTGTATTTTCTTACTACAATGTGCTGACAATCACAATAGGTGTGCTTACAGGAAATGAGTGGAAATATTTTGTTACTCTTTAGCAATGGCAAAATATCTTGGACTCAGATTTCTTAACTGGTATTAATGTTAAATTTTCGGCATTTTTGTTGTTCCTTATATTTACACTTCTTATGTCTTCATGAAGGATGTCCGGCCCCATCTCTCGCGAAAGAATCACGCTATTAAACGCAAAGCTTGAAATAAGAAGAGGCATATTATCATTTGTAGAATTGTTCATCTTCCTGAAATGCCACCCCAAAACTTATGAGGAATGACAAACTGGTCCCTCAATTATCACCCTCTTTCTGTTGGCAGAAAGTCGAGCTATATGTCACGCCCCAAACGCCCTGAAAATTAGGGGTGAGCATCGGTCGGTTTGGTCCGAAAACCGAACCAAACCGAAAAAACCGAAAACCGAAATTGTATTATAATATGAAACCGAACCGAACCGAATAATCTTTAATAACCGAACTAAAACCGAACCGAAATTATCGGTTCGGTTCGGTTTTAAAACCGAAAACCGAAATTATACACAAGTTCACAACATATGTTCCAAAACATGATAATTTTTATCACAAGTTTACAAATCACATCAACCATAAAAATGCAACCAAATTAACAAAGTCTCATAACTCACAAGTCACACCAAAAATAAAAAAACACTACTGAAAGTTTAAAAGACTAAAACTAAGTCTTAGTTCTGAAACAATATACAACATAAAGCAACATTAGCATCCAATGAAAGTGAAAGAGTGAAAGTAGCAGCAGCCCCCAGTAGTACAACACCACCAATAGCAAAACACCATGTCACCAACACTGCAACACACAAATCCAAAAACAATAGTTACAATATAGCACCACCAAGTAAAAAACAGTGAAAGACTAAAAGTAGCAGCAGCCAGCAGACCAGCAACAAAGGAGCACAACAGAGTACAAATGAACACACACAATCACACAATACCAAGTCACCAACAGGCAGCAACAGAAATCACAGCAAAGGACTGAAATGGGCAACACTGCAGCAGGTAACAAATCTAGACGCCCGCGTTTAACAATGATGGCCCGATACCCACATTTGGTAACTCTACAACATGAAATAAAATGCAAGAATTTATTACGATATCGAAAGTCAAGAATTAGAAATTAAATAAACAAATAAACTTAATTAAATTACCTTTGTCAAAGTTTTCAATCTCATCTTGTAGTTCTTCAACACTTAAAGGATTGTTTGACTCTCGAAGCCAATCTTGTGCGCATATCAACGCTTAAACAATCTTTGAAGTCAATGAACTCCTAAATGCATTAAGAACCCTTCCACCAGTACTAAATGCAGATTCCGAAGCCACGGTTGAAATTGGAACTCCTAAAATATCACGTGCCAATCGCGAAAGGACAGGAAATCTTCCAGAATTAATTTTCCACCACTTCAACACATCAAGATCCTCGGAATCTTCTAAAACATCCTCATCCAAGTAAACTTGTAGTTCATTTTTTTTTTGTTCAGCCACTTCCACTCTCCAATTTTTGTTTCATAATTCTAGCTTTCAAGACGTTCATTGGCTTCTTCGTAACTTTTTTAGAAATAGAATCATCAATCACTGTAGAACTAGAGCTCACTCGATTATGATCTTCAACATTGGGCTGATATTTTTTCTCATATTCTCTAAACAACTCAAAGAGACCATTTTTAACACTTTCAAACAGTTCAACACCTTCATCAGCCCGTACATCTCGCTAAGAGAGTCCTCCATGAACTCAAATTTATCACGAGGATCAAAAACAGTTGCCCAAAAGATTAATTTGTTCATGCTCTCCGAATTCCCCCAATATTTATCAAATTTTGATTTCATTGATGTTCCCAAGTCTTTGATTTCACAATCATCACTCCCTTTCCATTCATTTAAAATGCAACACAAATTGCTAATCTCATTAAAAAATGTATGAGAAGTAGCATATAATGAACCCGAAATGCGCAATGTCATCTCATAAAAATGCTTCAATAAATCTGAAATTTTCTTCACACAAGACCAATCAAAAGACGTCGGAGCCCCATGTTTAACTAAATCAGTGGAAAAGTTTGAATCTTGCTCTTCAAATCGCTCAAATGCCTTTTCAAACTTTGCAGCTGTTTTTAACATTAAATACGTAGAATTCCACCTTGTAGCCACATCTAGACATAAAATGCTCTTACTCTCGATACCTTCCAATTCAACACAATCTTTGAAGTTTTTAATTCTAGTAGGTGAATTTCGAATATATCTTACAGCTTCTCTCACTCGCTTCACTGAAGGTTTGATATCTTTTAGGCATTCGGTAACAACCAAATTAATTATATGTGCAGTACACCTCATATGAAGGAACTTACAATTAGCCACATTACCATCCCAGTTCAACATTCTCCTCTTTAAGAAAGCAATAGCTACATCATTTGAACTTGCATTGTCTACAGTGATCGTGAAAATATTCTTTAATCTCCAATCGAGAACACAAGTTTCTATCGCCTTCCCAATGTATTCACCTTTGTGACTCGTAACAGGCACAAAATTGAGAATTTTTTTATGTAAGTTCCAGTCATTATCAATGAAATGAGCTGTGATGCACATATAATTAATTTTCTGAATAGAAGTCCATGTATCAGTTGTCAGACTGACTCTTTGGCAATTATTTTTCATAAACTGCTTCAACTTCATTCTCTCATCAGCATACAATTGAAAACAATCTCTAGACATAGTCCATCTTGATGAAATTTTAAATCTAGGACAAGCTTTAGACATGACTCGACGGAATCTATCTCCTTCTACAAACTTGAATGGTAATTCATCAACAATGACCATGTATGCAACAGCTTTTCGAATTTCATCCTGATCAAATTTCCAAGTAGAAAGTGTACTCTTACCATCATTACAAGGATTACATGGTTGCAAATTCAAAACTGTTTGTCCAGGTTCAGACTCTGTATTCCCTTTACATACAGTCATGTGTTGTTTTAAAGATGACGTCCCATTTCTTTTGGAATGACAAGAATAAACCTTATCACAAGAATTGCACTTAGCTGAAATTAGATTACCATTCTCATCCTCTGTCTGTGTGAAGTATGACCAAACAATTGATCTTGGTTTCATGCGCTTTCTCTTTTTTCCTTTTTCAGCATCATTTTTGTTTGAATCTACATCAGCACCCTCAGCTTGGTTATTGGCATTTGAGGCTTCAGAGTTTGCCATATGTTCATCTGGTGATGGTTCCATTTTTCAGTCTTCACTTGAATCACTTCTTCAGTATGCAAGAAAAACGGAAAAGAAATAAAAAATAAGCAACATATATGACATGAGAAATGAGATTGACTGAATGAGGGAGGCTACTTAACAACATAACAACAGAAAATAAAAATAAACAACATAGAATAATTATAAGTTATCACTTATCACAATAGTGAATTAACAGAAAAAGAGATTGAAGCATTTTTATGCTTCAATAATCAATATTATGTTGTTAATTATCAGAAAAAAAATTATAGGAAAAATGGTAAAAATCGGTCAGACAACAATGAATGAGGGCTTCACAGTGAGCAATTGGGAAAAAAAAATTAAAGGATTTATGGTAAAAATCGGTCAGACAACAATGAATGAGGGCTTCTTTGTGAGGAATTGGGATTTTTTTAAAGGGCTGCTTGCCCCTCTTTTCCAAGCCCTGTGATTTCTTATTGAAAAACAAGAGTAAACAGCCCTTTAAAATTTAAATCACAGTTATCAGAAAAAAAAATCTGAAATTTTCTTCAGAATAAACAACACAGTTCACACACTACATACACACAACATAAACTCAAAATCAATTATTTTTTTGCACCAATTTTGTCAGAAAGCATAAACTAAAATTTCCTTTTGATAACATCACAAAGCTTGAAATATATTTAGGATTATTGTTAGCAGAAAAAAAAAATTAAAGAAATAGAATCTGTTGCGAGAAATAGAATCGGAGTTCGCCAATTCGGAGTATTACTCACAGAGAGGTCAAGAGCAGAGAGAAGAGAGGTAGATCATAGATGTTCGACTTCGAACAGAGAATGAGAGAGAGAGAGAACGCCGCTGCGAAATTGTGTGTGTGTGTGAGACAGATTTAGAATTTCAGATTAGGTTTAGAAGATGAGTAGTTGAGTATACAATGACCGCTACTATTAAAGTTTATTAATTAGTAACCTAAATTCGGTTCGGTTCGGTTAAACCGAATTTATTTTTTCAAAAACCGAACCGAACCGAATAAACCGATATTATAAAAAAATGAAACCGAACCGAATTAAGAAATAAAAAAACCGAACCGAACAACACTATTCGGTTCGGTTCGGTCGGTTTTTTCGGTTTTATCCGAATAATGCTCACCCCTACTGAAAATCCTCTTAGCCCTTAAGTAGTACATGTCAAATCTCAAAGTTTCAAGAGGCATATTATCATCTGTAGAATTGTTCATGTTCCTGAAATGCCACCCCAAAACTTCTGAGGAATCACAAATTGGTCCCTCGATTATCACCCTCTTTCTGTTGGCAGAAAGTCGAGCTATAGGCCACGCCCCAAACGCCCTGAAAATCCTCTTAGCCCTTAAGTAGTACGTGTCAAATCTCAAAGACCAAATAAAACAATTCTCAGCCATTTCTTTGTGACTTTGTTTGGTACTACAAAGTCAACTAATCACAGCTACTTTATGTCAAAAACACTGTGATCATAGAAAAAAGAAGTTTTGAGTATTACTTAAAGTCTTAAATGAAGAAAAAAAAAAACCAAAATATTTCTACATGTTTGCAAAACACTGTTTTTTCTTTATTTTTTCCTTTTTTAACAATAAGTATACGGCAGATAGCATCGAGCTTAAGATCAAACGCAACAAGAATTACCCGATTGAGAACTAATTAGAACAACAAAGAATACTAACTCGTCTGCTCTGATCTAGTCAAAGAAACTGAGATTTTAGATATTCGGAAGACCCGCAATATGCACTATCCCACTCAGCCTGTGATGCTCAATGTGATTCAATGCAACATTCCTCTGATGATCTATCTCATAATCCAAATCAGTAAAATTATCCTTAAAAACAGCGCGTCTGTTTATAATCCCGGTCTTCCTTAATATCTCCGAAACACATAATTCAAAAAAACTCGAAGAAAATCTTATTGCTAGCACAATAAATTTGATATTTTGTTTTTCTGGGGGAATAAACTGCGAAGAATGTTAAGGATATGGTGAAATAAGCGGTGTTCTTGAAGACGGCGGCATTTGAAAACAACGATTAAATAAAAATTCATGTCTAGTTATGTTTTGAAATTGGAGCTGAACTAAATGATGAGGCTTTGCTTTGCAGGGTCTTGTCTTATGCAGCAACATATTGTTGCTTTTCTGCACAGACTAGTTGTTGGGATGTTATTATGCATTTAACTAAAGTTTGGAATATAAAGAAAATCAACTTGAACCAAATATGCATCTCTGGTGCTTTGTTCATTCAAAGTTCATTTATTTATTTTTTTTTCTCACAAAACAATATATAATAAAATCTTATGTTCCAAATCCTGAGGAGATAAGATATGTGATCAGCATGAAAAGGTTCGGGTCTCAGTACTTAACCGAAAAACTGCAGGAGTTGACTAAATATCACATGCTGTAGCTAAACACACACAGAGTGTTATATGCTAATGCAAGAACCTCACAACATCTTAGAGGCCATCCAAATGTATCAAAATTGAGAGAATCACACTCGTACCTTCAATAAGCAAAAGTTGCATAGAACGCAAAATCAAGGCGAAATCCACTGTACACACAAACAGAAGATAAGTACCCACAGAGTACAATCAAGTCAAACTAAAGCTGATACGACCAGAATACAAAAATCACTAACAAGTTCGAACATCGTTAAGTCAGCTTTCTTCTTTACTTGCTCAACTTGGAGAGTTCAACAAGCCAAAAAACATCCTTCCTAACAGTCCCCACATTCTTTAAACCATTAGCATTTTTTACCACAACTTAATTTTTTACTGGTGGAAGCTTAGACAACACCCAGCTAGGCGACTCACTCAACCACATACCCTTGCTAGTTACCTTGTGCCTAAAATCCGGCGCTTTAGGGTTTCTTTTCGTGGCCCTGTTATCCCACCAATCATCGAGATTTTCAACCAATTCCTTCCAAGAATCATCTGTCTTGTTCTGCTTCGGCCTCATATTCTTCACTTCAAACTCCAATTTTACTATCTCAGGCAAGATCCATTTGGGGGCACTCTTAATCCAGAGAGGCTCCTCAGTCACCTTCTGCTTGAAATCCGGATGGTTTTCCTTTACCAGCCTGTTTGCCTTGTGCTCGCGAAAATCCCACCATTGCAGTGGATTCTTCACAAGATCCCTCCAGAGATCCGTGGTTTTATCCGCATCCTTTTTCTTTCCATCGCCATTCCCACTTTCCGGAATTGCTGTTTGTGCTAATAGCTCGTCGTCCTCAGTCTCTACGGACAATTTATCAAACAACTCTACTTTTTCGGACAATTTATCAAACAAATTAGCTGCGTTCTCAACAGATTTATCAGTTCCCAACCCATATAAACTATTCTTCTCCAACCCCACCACAAAGTTGATATTTTCAGCCACGACATGGAATTTTCCGAGGCTCTCGCTCTCGCTCTCGCTCGGGACTGGACCCGTGGGGTCCACGCTCAGGTGACCGGACACGAAGACGCAGTCGTTCTCCCGGACATGACCCGACACGACGCGGGCCAAGAGCCCCTCGAACAGGACGGGGATCTTCAAGGGATCTTTTACGCCACCGTTCATGAGGGAAATCACAGTGGTGGCCAGATGCTTTCCGCCGCCGGCGGACTCGAATCGGATGGGAATCCCGACCCGGCCGATCAGGTTCACGAAGTTGGCGGCCTTCGACTGGTACGATATCGTCCCCGGCTTGGGCCAGACGGCGGTCAGCTCCTCCGATTGCTTCAGGGCTATCTGGGAGAAAGATATCAACGATGTCCGCGCGGAGCGTTTCTCGGGCTTGGGCTTGGTCGGTTCCGGGGTTTTCCGGCTGCTGCCTCGGGCCGTGGTTTTGGTGGAGTAGGGCTCGCATTGTAGGAGGGCGGCGAGCTTGGGGAGGCGCATTGACGGCGAGGGGGAGGAGGATATGAGATGGGACGACATTTTTGCTCTGGCTAGTAAATTCATGGCGGGCATTTTGTGAGTTGAGTGAAGCTGAACTTCCTTATTAGGGTTTGTCGAGGGTTTTGGCCTTTTTGGGTCTTCTGGAGTGGAAGCGAAAGGGCCTTGAAAAGAAGTCGGTTTTGGATAGAGCTGAAGCCTGAAGGTGCGTTTGTTTGCCACAATTTTTTTAATTCAAAATATAATTTAAATTTAATCGTATTTGATAATTTATTACTAGTGTGTATCCCGTGCCATGCACGACGGATTTGTTTCTTAAAATAATTTTTAAAACTTTATTTTAAGAATATGTTAGCTTGATAACAGTTTATATTAATAAATACTATTTTAAGTTTTAACATCTATATTTATTTTTTGATATAGACAAAATAATATTTTTACTTATTTTTGTTCATTATAAAATTTCACTATTATTTTTTAAGAAAATTTATTGTTGTATAAAGTCATTATTATTATTATTATTATTATTATTATTATTATTATTATTATTATTATTATTATTATTATTTATAACATTTATAAAAGTTTAGCTCTCTCTCTCTCTCTCTATATATATATATATATAATGATAAATACTTAATATACATTAATATTATTTAGTTATGTAAATAATTTATAAATATTTAAGCAAATTCAAAATAAATATTGTCTACGTATATGCATTATATTAATTTTTAAAATTTGTTTTATTTCATAATAATATTTATTTGGTTATTATTATTAACTTATCTATAGATATATTTTTGTAAAGCATGATATGTAATCATAAATGTTTTAGATAAAAGTATATATTTTATTGTTAAATCTATTGTGTACAAAATAAAAATGTGAAAGATTGACATATTATTTATTATAATTACTTATACATAGATTAAAATTTTTTTAGGAATGTTTGAAAATTTAACTAACTGACGAAATATTTGATTTCAAAACAATATAGATATTATAATCATATAATTTATTTGCTACTTTTATGGTTTATAATTATACTATAACTTCAGATTCTTTCCTTTTTATTTATTAAAGTGATTCCAAATTTTTGAAAAGATTGATGAATATTTTATTTTGTATATAGTAAATGTTAAAATGAAAATAGTAAAACATTTTCCAACATCTTAAGAAA